ATTTGTCAAGATTTCTCATTTGATAAATGTCACTTCTGTGGTATTGTTATTCAATTATACCACTTATGTGAAAAAGTTTAGAACATACAATTTTTAAAGGTTTAAAAGACAAAGTTAACCCTAAGTCAGATATGATTAATCACTATAAACTCGAGTTAATCGAGTTAATCACTGATAAATTCCAATTTATTAGTGATAAACTCTAATTAATCACTAATAAATTCCAATTTATCAATGACATACTAAATAAATAAAGTTAATCATTAATAAACTTTAATAATATACTAAAGACATAATAAATCAAATATAATTTACAATAAACTCAAGTATGTCAGAAATTTATTACACAAATACAAAAAAAATACAAAAAACACAAATATATTTACATAAACATCTCTGGTGAAGCCACCACTGTTAATCTTCTCCGCGACTTGGACGACGAGGGCGGAACAAGGTGAACAATGACATATGTAGGCAAGGCAGAATGGTGACGGCGACGAGATTCAACAGCTTCATCGTGCAGGTCTGTGACTGAAAATGTCACGGATGGATGGCTCCAATAATCTTCTCATTGGAGTGGCTCTGTGAGAAGGAGGTCAGAGATTTCGACCGTGGATCCGTAAACCTCATGTAAACTTCGATGGAGAAGAGAAAGAAGGGCATAGAAGAAAGAGGGGAGGACGGAGAGAGAGAGATGGGCGGCGAAGAGAGAGGAAGGTGGAGAGAGAGAGAGAGACATAAACTTCTTCAGACCCGATCGTGATGGCAAGCGATGACGACGTCGGCTTTCTACATGACAGTGAGAACCGTCATCGATCTCACTGCGGTTAGAAAGGTATGGAGCTTTTTTGTACGGATGCCCCTTAATTTTTTGAATTGAGCAATTTGGCTCTTATTCTTTTTTCTTGACAATTGACCTCTTTAACTTAAAATTTTTTACAATTAAAGTCCAATCGAAAACGAAGTCCCCTTTTTTTCACGATTTTGATCACTTGTCCCGCATGTGAGCGTCTATTGAGAGTATTAAAGGTCACTTCTCACTCTTGGAGCGTCTAAATAACGCAAAAACCCTTATAAACAGAGAGTTATTTATCATAAATTGATTGTGTTTGAACACATTAAATGATTATAATATTAATATAACTAAACAAATAAAGTGAGAAATGACATTCATTTCTCTCAACAGATGCTCATGTGAGCATCATGTAATCATAATCGTAAAAAAAAAAGAAAAAGAAAAAAGAACAGAAGGCGTTTTTTATTGGGCCTTAATTGTATAAATTTTTAAGTTAAGAGTGACCAATCGCTTGGAAAAAAAAAATAAAAACCAAACTGCCTAATTCAAAAAATTGAGGTGTCTATACAAAAAAACCTCAGGAGTTGTTTAGTACATATACTAAATACTCAAACTATAATTATGTCACAATATTTTTCTCTCAAAAAGAATTTAATTAAAAAAAATTTTGTCAATAATTTTCTCATAATATAATACAAAAAAACCTCAGGAGTTGTTTAGTACATATACTAAATACTCAAACCATAATTATGTCACAATATTTTTCTCTCAAAAAGAATTTAATTAAAAAAAATTTTGTCAATAATTTTCTCATAATATGAATTTTCTTACCAAACGTCTCATATTTTCTCCTATTTTCTTCTCCAGCGTTAAACAAATTCCCAGTCGGCTTAGGAATAAAAAAGAAAAAACAGAGCGAAGTTTTTTTTTTTTTTTTTTTTTAGAATTTCAACTAGAGTTTTGATTATGTCAATTTTACTTTTATTCAAAGATGATTTTCTCTTTTTCAGACTGGATCTTGGGGGTCCATAGATGAATTTATGCATGGGCCAGTCGTGCCTCTTTTCTGAATATTAACTAGAAATGAAAACCCATAAACACCGATAAAGAAAACCCCATCACTACCGAGAGGCCATCGAGAAGAAACATGAAGTGAGCAAGAGACCAAAGAGAAAGAACCCAAATCAATCAATAAATAAAAGCACCGCTCCTTGATGGGTATTTTAGTAAGCAAAGGCTTTGAATGAGGATAATCTTTTAGACCTAAAAAGAAGATAACGAAAGCAAATCGCAAGGCAAGCAAAATTTTTTTTGAAAATGAAAAAAAAAAAGACAAATGAGGAACCATCTAGATCTCGCGCTCGTTGGAAAAGGTGGATATGGTAGAGGTGATGCATGCGCGTTCGTCGGAGAGTTGCCGCCATCGGGGAAAGGCCAAAGGCGAAAAAGGAAGCCTCCAGAAGCCTGGAAGAAAAAATTATTCAGGACGTTTAGTTTTTTATTTAAAATTTTAATTTAAATTAAGATGTAGTTTTATATAAAAATTTTTTATCGTAATAAAAAATTAAATAAATTTTAAATTGTAAATTCAAATGATATTTGATGAAATGGGGCTCAGCCTTTTTTACACTTGAAACAACTCTCTACGTGAACTAAACAGGGACACAATTGATCGTTTACATTTAAAGCTGCCATACTGATATTGTTCTCAATTACACACCATCTGATTTTAATCAACTGTAACTAAAAATGTATCCTCCTGGTAGTTTAAAAAGAGGAGGCGTACCAGAAAAGTTCTCCTACAGTTATTTGGCACGTTTTTTTTATTAATAATTTCAAATAATAAATGAAAAAATAATCTCCCTTTTTTTTTTCTTTTTTTTTTACTAGGTTTTTTTTGCTTTTTTAGTTTTTCAAAGAATTTTTTTGAAGAATCTCTGTGTCATATTGTACCAACAATTTTAAGTATTCAGGATTCGTTTTGTTTGTTAATTAAGTTTTTAATTCGAGTTGATATATAATTTTATGTGAAAATTTTTTACTGTAGTAAAAAAATTAAATGTGATTGTTTTTTATAATTTTTTACTGTAACAAAATTTAAATTTTAAACTTAAATCAGTTAAATGAATAGGGCTTCAATAATATTAAATTTCTATCTCTTTCTTACCAAATTTGTCACATGTTGAACACACAATGCTCGTTTTGTAAATATGTCCGTACCAAACACACACCCTCTCACTTACCAGAATCATATATTTCTTCAATTCCTATTTTTTGAAAAAAAAAAAAAAAACTTGACATGAATTGAAGGGAAAAAACAAATAATGTTAAACTTTACTTTTCTAAAGAAAATTTTCAGTGAACAATAAATGGCAAGAGGTAAGTCGTGAACAACAATATTAAAAAGTACTGGTGATTTTTAACTCTAAATATACTGACAAACAAGGAATATCTTATAGATAAAATATCTATAGTACTTACCACCATTCACTAATAAAAAATAAATCTGACAGTCTATTAAAAGAGTTACTTAACACCAATAGTGCCTTTAAATATTTTTCTTTATTAATTATAGTGCTCAATACTAATAGTTTTTAAAGTGATTTTTTTTCAAGCCTATGATGATAAATCTCTATTACTCACACGGTAAAGGATCTTACTAAATTAGATTTCACCTACACATTTAGTAGGACCACTTTATATAAGTAGTGAGGTAAAAAATTAATCCCTATGATGATAAATCTCTATTACTCAAGAGATGTATAGGATTGTCCTTTTGAAAACAAAAAAATAAATAAATAAGTACTTTGGTATTTTAATATTGTGATGCCGGTCAGTTGTCACTTGTCACAAGGTCACAAGAATCACCATATTTGTTTCTAGGGATTAATAACCATGACCAATGGTTGATTACAACAACAAAAAAATGGTTGATTACAGCAATACCAGAAATGATTTCCACACCTTGGATCCTTTAGAGAAGAAAAATATTTGGGCACACCATCAGTGTTAAATACTGTTACTAATAAAATATAAATTCCACCTATAAATCTTGTGTTATAAGATTCATATTTTATTAGTATATAGTACTAAGCACCACCAATGCTTAATACCATTATTATTCAGAGAATGACTGGTTGAGAATTGGAAGCGTGGTTCTCTTCGTAACCTCAGCGCTCACCTACCCCCCAACACCCCACAAGCTTTCATTTACCTTCCCACCCACGTAGTACGTACTGCTTTCTCACTCCATTCTTTATCCAATGAATCTCCCGCCGTCAAAATAAACGGCCGTCAAACTCCCTCACCTACTCCCTCCCACATACCTCATTCACCTAACTCCTCCCCCAATCAGTATCACCACCCAACTCCATTTCCTTTTAGTTCCAAGTCTTATTGCCTCGTGTTTTATTTTTTTATTTTTTTTTGCCTTGGTTTGGTAAATTTTGCCCCCCCGTATTGAAAATGATGCAATTTTGAATCATTAAGTCCAAAATAATTGGCACTTTAGTCTTTAAATTGACGTTATTGGCACGTTTAGAACATGAGATCAAGTATTGTTACCTATCTAACTAATATGTTTGGTCGTGGGTTTAATCTTACAATAATTTCACACCTAACTTTAATATTGAGATCTAAAGTTACTCAAATATCTAATTCTTAATTAAAACAAAAAATATTAGAAGCATTTGTACCAATTTAATTTGAGATATTACAGGGAAAAAAAAAAAGTTAGCTTGAGATATTTGTACCGATAAAAAAACAAAATTATAGAATTAATGATGGTAAGAAAGTGTTATTCGACTCCATGCTAGATAAATAAAGAGTGAATCCCACCATGTATTTTTCATACGGAGTTGTCCAGTACTAAACAATAATTTTGATAATTGGAGTATAAATACTTACTTCTTAAAGCCAAGAAATTCATTTATTTAATTTTGCATCATTTTCTTAGAGTTACGCTCTTCTTGAATTATTTATAACCAGAGAAAATGAGAATAAAAATCTCACTGTAAGCAGTATTCCAATTTGGACCATGAGTCGCATCTCTAGGTCCCAAATAACAAACAACAATAAAATTAAAAATTCAGCATTTCAAAATATTCCAATAATCAATGCTTATTTTATTCATAAACAAATAAATAAAGAGTAATATTGTCCAATAAAAAAAAAATGATGAACAGTCTAATTTCCCTCCTATTAAAAGCTTCTTAAACTCCCAACAAACACAAACACAACCACCGAACACCAAACACCACCATGGACCTCCTCTTCCTAGAGAAGCTCCTCCTCTCCCTCTTCTTCTCCTTCCTCCTCGCCATCCTCGTCTCGAGGCTCCGCGGCAAGCGCTTCAAGCTCCCCCCGGGCCCACTCACTGTCCCTATATTCGGCAATTGGCTGCAAGTAGGCGATGATCTCAACCACCGCAACCTCTCGGACCTAGCACGCAAGTTTGGTGACATCTTCCTCCTCCGCATGGGGCAGCGCAACCTCGTCGTCGTCTCGTCCCCCGACCTCGCCAAGCAAGTCCTCCACACGCAGGGCGTCGAGTTCGGCTCCCGCACGAGGAACGTCGTCTTCGACATCTTCACGGGCAAAGGGCAGGACATGGTGTTCACCGTCTACGGCGAGCACTGGCGCAAGATGCGGCGGATCATGACCGTCCCTTTCTTCACCAACAAGGTCGTCCAGCAGTACCGCCTCGGGTGGGAGGACGAGGCCGCCAGGGTCGTCGAGGATGTTAGGAACATGCCCGAAGCCTCCACTTCCGGAATTGTGCTGAGGAAGAGGCTGCAGCTCATGATGTACAACAACATGTACCGGATCATGTTCGACCGGCGGTTCGAGAGCGAGGAGGACCCGCTTTTCGTCCGCCTGAGGGCGCTCAATGGCGAGAGGAGCCGCCTCGCGCAGAGCTTTGAGTACAACTACGGCGATTTCATTCCGATTCTGAGGCCATTCTTGAGGGGATACTTGAAGATTTGCAAGGAAGTTAAGGAGAGAAGGTTGCAGCTCTTTAGGGACTATTTTCTTGAGGAGAGAAAGTAAGGATTATTATTTTTTTATTTAATTTAATCTGATCTATTTTTTTTTATTTGAAAAAAAAAATTGATTAATTTGTTGTGGAAAATTGGATTTCAGGAAGCTGGCGAGTACGACAAGGAGTGATAACAATGCGTTGAAGTGTGCTATTGATCACATACTTGATGCTCAGCACAAGGGAGAGATTAACGAGGACAATGTTCTTTACATAGTCGAGAACATCAACGTTGCTGGTATGAATCGATTTTATTTATTTATTTATTTATTTATTTTATATATTGTTTATCGAATTGGTATTTAAGATATATGAAATGAAAACTTGTTACGATAGCAATTTAAGGGATTTTGTTTCATCACTGTTAAAAGAAATAAAAGATACCAAACTTTTATTGTTTCTACTTGAAAGCCGTTTAATTAGATCTCTGGGGTTGGTCCTTAATTAGTTAATTTGAATCAAATGACCTGGTTTACTTTTTGTTCAAAGAATGTGTTCTTCAGTTTCTAGGACTTTGGCACATCCTGTTCTGCTTAATGAAAATGGTCAATTCTGTCTGTCAAGAAAGTCAATTTCAGCCAACTATGGTAGCTTGAGGGCTAGCCGATTTTAAAATAAAATTTAGTTTGGTGAGAAGAAGAAAGAGAAAAATAATGGTAATGGGACAAGCCAACCACCTTAATGGTGACTAGAATTTTCAATCGGATGGCCTTAAATATCCGCTTTATTTGAAATTTTGCTTCACAAAAACCGTATGTTATTAGAGATTGTCAATTGGTGGTACTTGTCCTTATCTCCAAACCATCTAACAAAACAGAGTACATGATTCTTAATGTTCAACCATGGCTTGAGCTATTTTGCTAGAATGATAAACAAACAAATGTTTGATGTGAAAACAGAACTTAAAAACACACTTTCATAACATGACCAAAACAAAAAAAACAAAAAAAAACAAAATCAATTGCAAGTCAATTAACTTGTTTTAACTATTGGCATCAATGCAGCAATTGAGACGACACTATGGTCGATCGAGTGGGGAATTGCTGAGCTAGTGAACCATCCAGAGATCCAACAAAAGCTTCGACACGAGCTCGACACGGTGCTCGGTCCTGGCGAGCAGATCACCGAGCCAGACACATACAAGCTGCCCTACCTGCAGGCAGTGATCAAGGAAACTCTGCGGCTGCGGATGGCTATCCCTCTGCTGGTGCCCCACATGAACCTCCACGACGCCAAGCTCGGGGGCTACGACATCCCCGCCGAGAGCAAGATCCTCGTCAACGCGTGGTGGCTGGCCAACAACCCGGCGCAGTGGAAGAACCCGGAGGAATTCAGGCCGGAGAGGTTCTTGGAAGAGGAAGCTAAGGTTGAGGCCAATGGGAATGACTTTAAGTACCTTCCTTTTGGTGTTGGAAGGAGGAGTTGTCCCGGGATCATATTGGCTTTGCCCATTTTGGGAATCACTTTGGGGCGTTTGGTCCAGAATTTTGAGCTCTTGCCTCCTCCTGGACAAGACAAGCTTGATACCTCGGAGAAAGGTGGGCAGTTCAGCTTGCACATTTTGAAGCACTCCACTATTGTTGCCAAGCCCAGAGTGTGCTGATCACATTCTGTCATGTTTTGATCTTGGGAAACGGATTTTGGATATGTATAAGGTGCAAATTGCTTAATTAATTTTAGTTTCAAACTCTGAATAACACTAGCGAAGTCCATTGTAATCTAGCATCTTCGTCAGTATAGAAAATTTGCCTGGGAGGGGGAAAATCAGTATAAAGTTTAATAATCTGCCTGACCCGGCAAAAACTTAGTAGTGACCTTTCTCAAGTTCTCTTTGAAGTCTTTTATTAGTTGTTGGGACTAAGGTGCGAGCGTATAAATTAACTCAATGAGGCTTCTACCAAAAAAAAAAAAAAAAAAAAACCTTAATGAGGCTGCACTATACATACGGTAGTGGGAATGTTTGGTTTACTGTAAGAACCTCCCACGGTTAAAAAAAAAAAAAAAAAAAAAAAAAAAAACAACGTCCGCATTGAATGCTAATGGAGATTGAGCCTAAAAAAAAATTAGAAACATATTTAACAAACCCAAATTCACATTTACTTATTTCCTTAATGGTTATATTGATCATTTTTCGTCCATTAATGGATATTAATAAATAAATATTGTAAAAGATAGGAAATGTCCTACCTTCCTCCTAAATCAGCCAATCGAATGAAAAAAATAATAATAATAATAAATAGAGTGTAAAGATAGTGGATAAGAGGTAGGTGAATACGCATTCATTTCTATTCTTATTTCTTCAAACCAATTTCAGAGGAAAAAGAACTAGTAAAAGTAAATGAAAACGAGAGCAAATGGACAGTCTTATGCTCAAATCATGACACAAATGCTGACATCAATATCCCACCAAGAATTGGAAAAATAATAATGTAAAAATTGTACATTTTTCTAAAGTTAGCAACTTTAATAATGAAAAGCCACATCCAATTCTAACAAAATGTTATAAAAAGTATAGGCAGTCTTAAATTTGGTTGGATTTAATTCGGTAAATATATTTCATACAGATGTGTATTATCGTTAGTATGTGTGTAATTATAACACTCAATGATAAATATATTATATTATATTTATTAAATTTTACACTAAAATAAACGGAATGTGACGCGCACACACTAATGAACTATGCTACATAAGCATAAAAAATAAAAAAAATAAAAAAAATAAAAAAAAAACTAGACGTGCCTGACTACTACGCAGATTTAGAAAATTTCAAAGAATATATGTACGTAGGTTTCGTTTATTTTATTAATTTGAGTTTAAAATTTGAGTTTTATTACAGTAAAAAATTTTAAAAAAAGTCACATTTAATTTTTTTATTATAATAAAAAACCCTCACATAAAGTCATATCTGAACTCAAATTAAAAATTTAAATTAACGAACTAAACGAGCGTCGTAAATTCTAATTTCTTTGTTGTGACACGTGTCGTGGTGACGTGAAATAATTGAAGAACACTATTAATAAAGAGACCATTTTCTTATTCTCATAGTTCCCAACGGACCAGTCACATTGCAAGGAGATCTTTCAGTGTCGTTTTTCGCCATTTTCAACGTCCTGTAACGGAAGCTAATTTTGTCCGAGGAAAACTGAGAAAGAGACAAAGCAACCGAGGGAAATGAAATGATGGGTCAGAGAGACATCCTTCGATGCGATCTCTTCTCAAATGGGTTTATTTTTATAGGATCCGTTCACTTTGCTGATTTGAGTTTGTAATTTGAGTTGAGATGTGATTTTGTGTGAAAATTTTTTACTGTAATAAAAAAATTAAATATGACTGTTTCTGAGAGCTTTTTACTGTAGCAAAACTCAAATTTTAAATTCAGATCGGCGAAATGAACGGCTGCTTAGCTTCATTTTCCTCACTTTCTCACCAACCCTCCGAGTGGGTGCTTCGATCCACGAGTACCGCAACGAGGCCTTCATTCGTCGCTCCAATTCCTTCTTCTTCTATGGCGGCAGTGAGGGCCTCTACGCCTCCAAGCTCCACTCGCAAAACGACAAGGTCGTTTCTGAAGATAAGCCCCTCAATGGCAAGTCCTTCATCAGGTAACCCAAAGAAAAAAAAAAAAAAGATACAGTTGTTATTTTGTTTGACTTAGTTTTGGACTAAACGCAAATGGGTATGTTTGATCTGTATGTTTTTCTGTTGAATGCCAAATGGATTCCGAGATAGTTGACTTTTTGAGCAGCCAATTACTATTTTTGGTTCGTTCTCTGTGTTTAGATACCTTTTTTTGATTGTAGTATATAGGTAATTTAGATTATCAACAAGTAGGCAAGTAATAGCTCTCAGTATAAGCATCAAAGGATTGGGGTAACTTGTGTATGCATGATCAATGGGATTTTTAAAAAAAAAAAAAATCTATGTTTTGTGGTTTTCATAGGCTTGTAGTGTGAATGAGAACAGTTGGAAAAATTAGAAGGTTTTGTTCCTTTTATGACGTGTGAATCCAGGTTCGAATCGATCACTTTTCGAAGAACCAAAAAGTCCGCGGAGCAGAAGAATGAGATGCAGCAGAGGACTGGATTGGTTGAGGCTATAATACTTGATGTCAGAGACAGGGATAAGATTGGGGGTTCTTATTTGAACTCCATTGCAATATGCTGTACCCCAGAACTTGCAAAGGACGGTTCCTGCAAGGTTGGAGAGGTTATAATCCACCAAGACCTTGATAAGCCAAATGGGCCACAAAGAATCCAGACTTTCTTTGAAGGGAAAAATGAAGAGGCTTCAATGGTACTCCGCACAATTGAGATCAACAGTACTGGAATGTACTATCTGTATTTCATGTTTTGTGATCCGGAACTCGTGGGCACGGTGATCAGTGGGAGAACAGTTTGGAGGAACCCAGATGGTTACCTGCCGGGAAAGATAGCGCCTCTGATGACGTTTTCTGGCTTAATGTCATTGGCTTACCTTGTTCTAGGTCTTGTTTGGTTCCTCCGATTTGTGCAGTACTGGAAAGATATAATGCAGTTGCACTATCACATAACTGCTGTGATTGCTCTTGGAATGTGTGAGATGGCCCTCTGGTATTTTGAGTATGCAAATTTCAATTCCACTGGAAGCAGACCAATGGGAATCACCATATGGGCAGTGACCCTCACTGCGGTGAAAAAGACCATCTCCCGGTTGCTGCTTCTGGTGGTTTCTATGGGCTATGGAGTTGTGAGGCCAACTCTTGGAAGCGTAACCTTGAAAATACTTCTCCTTGGTGTGATGTACTTTGTCGCTTCAGAAGCACTTGAACTTGTTGAACATTTGGGGAATATCAATGATTTTTCTGGGAAAGCAAGGATTTTTCTGGTACTACCCGTGGCTCTGCTAGATGCTTGTTTTATTCTGTGGATCTTCTCATCATTATCTAAAACTTTGGAGAAGCTTCAGGTATTTCTATTTTTTTATGCTCATATTCCAACAGCATCGAATAGATGGTTTACGCTCCTCACACGTGCCTTTTGAATCACAGTGTGTAGGTATATAACTACTAAATCATCCCAGGAAAAGAAAATCTCATCCGGCATATGAATTCTTTTCTAACTAGAGCTTGATCTAGTAGAATTTGATAACGACTAATAATAATTCATTCATTATGTAAACTAATATTATTGAATGAGTTCTTATATTAAGCTGTCTATTTTGCATATTCCATATTGTATCTTTTTCTTTTCCTGACTCTTGAGCCCCCCGCCTCCCCTAACCATGTAAATTAGTAATCCTTTGCCTCTTTTGTCCACAGATTCGAAGAAGCATGACCAAACTGGAGCTTTACAGGAAGTTTACCAATTTTCTTGCAGTATCAGTGCTGCTCTCTGTTGTTTGGATTGGCTATGAGGTTATCCTTTTGTTTTCTCCCCAACTGACTTCTTTTGTATTTCAAGTAGTATATGACAAGTTGATAGACCCCCTGTGCGCTTCACTTATACTCGAAGGAAGAGGGGCGGGAAAATTGGTGCTGTTCAAGTCAAGGAGTTGCTGAGGGTTGCAGAGCCGGATTCGGATCAGGCTAATGTAGCGGTTGAGGAGTAGCAGTTGGATGATGTGTGGTTGGCCAGGAGATGGCTGAGTTGGAGGGGAGTGCTGTGATGGATTCGGGACCTTGGAATTTGGGAGGATTATGTTAGAGAGGTTGTTAGAAGAGCATGGAATAAAACGTGAGCCCCGGGGGGAAATGGGCATCGATCATCTTAGCTAAAGGAAATTAGTGAGCGAGTCTCTAGGGAGTGCAAGTGGTCTCTCGAAAACTCCCATATCTTGTATTCCTTCCTAATTTCTTTTAGTAATATCAATACAATTCCAATTCTGATCGATCAATTTCCTTGTGTTTTCTAATTTCTATCTTTGATAATTGATGGTTCTATCAAAGTGGTATCAGAGCATTGTCCTGGATGGCGCCACCGAGGAAGGTTGTTGATGAGAAGACCGACAAGAATCGGAGTGATGAAGTTTGGGAAGACGTCCAAAGTGAGATGGAAGGCTTCAAGGAGGATTTGTAGAAAATTCCCAAGTTGGAGAGAGGCTTGGAGTTGGTGTTGGGAAACTTGGAGGAGCTGCTGCGGCAGAAAGCCGAACCAGAGTAGGGCTAGACCTCGTCGATTACGGGGTCGCCGGCGGGTGGAACCTTCTCCATGGGTGAGGGAAAGGAGAGTAGTGGAGGCGGGTGGGACGACGGACCGAGATCGGTCACGCAGACTCACCGGATTGAGATGCCGACCTTTGATGGAACCAACTCCGATGGGTGGATCTTCTGGGGAAGCGAAGAAGCTGGAGGCCACGGTGGTGAGTCTCGACGGCGACGCCCTCGCTTGGTTCCAATGGGAGGATGGGACGCGAGGCATCTGGAGTTGGGGGAAGCTGAAATCTCTGATCCTCGAGAGATTCTGCCAGACCCCGGATGGAGACCTCTGCGAGAGATTTCTAGCACTCCGGCAAGTGATGAATGTTCGTGAATACAACAATAACAACAATAACAACAAGCCTTAATCCCAACTTAATTGGGGTTGGCTATATGGATTTCACTTTTTCACGCAGCTCTGTTCGAAATTAAACTTTCCTAAAGGCCTAGATCTAGAATGTCTTTCCTAACTACTTCGGTCCACGTAATTCTTGGTCTACCCCTCCCTCTCATAGTATTAGGTATAAGAATGTCCTCCCAAGCATGAACTGGTACTTCTAGCGGTCTACGTTGGACATGCTCGTACCACCTAAAGCGGCATTCGCACACCTTATCTTCTATTAGTGCTACACCTACTTTACTACGAATAACTTCATTTCTTATGCGATCCATTCTCGTACGGTCACTCATCCATCTTAACATACATATTTCTGTCACACTCATCTTAGATATATGTTGTCTCTTAATGGCCCAACATTCACTACCATATAACATAGCTTAGCGGATTACAGTCTTATAAAACTTTCCTTTCAACTTAATAGGCATCTTGCCATAACATAAAACTCCCGTAGCATTCTTCCACTTAAACCCACCCTATCTTAATCCTATGTTGAATATCCTTTTCTATTATAGACCCAAGGTACCTAAACTTCCTAGAAGTCCCAATCTCCACACCATCTAAAGAAATTTCATCACTCTGATTACTTGAGTTACTAAACCTACAATGCATGTATTCAGTTTTCGTCTTTAACTTAAATCCCTTCGTTTCGAGAGTCTGTCTCCACAGTTCTAATTTACGGTTGTCTCCACAGTTCTAACTTACGGTTAACTCCTTCCCTACGTTCATCAACTAAAACTATATCGTCTGCAAAAAGCATACACTAAGGAACTTTATCTTGGATTTCTCTTGTCAGCTCATCCATCACGATGGTGAAAAGATAAGGACTAAGAGCAGATCCTTGATGAAGGCCAATCTGAATGGGGAATTTTGCCGTGTAGTCTCTACACTCGTGACCACCCCATCGTACATGTCCTTAATTACCTTGATATACCTCACATGCACTTTTCTCTTTTCTAGCACCCACTATAAAACTTCCCTCGGCACCCTATCATATGCCTTTATTAAATCTATAAAGATCATATATAGGTCCGTCTTCGCTTTTCTGTACCTTTCCATCAGCATCCTAAGAAGAAAAATGGCTTCCATGGTTGATTTGTCTGGCATGAAGTCAAATTAGTTACCGGAGATGGTAGTTGTGACCCTTAATCTCCTTTCGATAACTCTCTCAAAGTTTCATAGTGTGGCTAATAAATTTTATGCCCCTATAATTGTTACAATTCAGCACATCTCCTTTATTCTTGAAGATGGGGACAAGAATACTTTTCCTCCATGCATCAGGCAGGCATATGCTTCTTCTTTAGTATCTCATTAAAAAACTTAGTGAGCCACATAATTTCAGCATCTCCTAACGCCATCCAAAGCTCTATTGGAATATCATCTGCCCCACATGCCTTCTCCTTTTTGATCTTCCGTAGTGCAGTTTTAACTTCTGAGACTTTGATTCCTCTTATATACATCACATTAGGTTCTCCTTGTGATTTAAGATTGTCAAACTCTATCGCATGATCATCATTATAAAGCTTCTCAAAGTAACTCCTCCACCTTTCCCTAATGTCTTTATCTTTTGTCAGAACCTGATCCGTACCATCCTTAACACACATCACTTGATTTAGGTCCCGACACTTCCTTTCTCTTATCCTAGTTAGTTTATATATATATATATCATTCTCTCCTTCTCTAGTCCCAAGTTTCCTATATACCTCATCTAAGTAAGTAGAACGAGCCTTACCAACTACTCGCTTAGCTTCTTTGTTCATTTATTTGTACTTATTAAAAGTTTCAACATCCTTACGTTTTGGTAAATCTCTATATAAATCCCTCTTGATCCTAATAGCCTTTTGAATTTCTTCACTCCACAACCAGGTTTCTTTCCCAGGGGGGCCTTTACCTCTAGATTTTCCTAGTACCTCCTTTGCCACTTTTCTCTAATGCAGCTGGCCATGACATCCCACATAGTATTTGCATCACCTATATATGACCAAGTAGCCTCATCTAACAATTTCTCTTTAAAGGTCAATTGTTTTTAAAAGCTAAATGGAGGAGAAAAACAATCTCTTCACTTCCGTTTATTAATCAGAAAACTTAACTTAATTTACAGAGAAGATCCACTTTATATAGCCTAGGAGAACTAGTCTAACTAACCACCTAACTTCCTAAAAAATAGGAGATAAAAAAGGCTAACAAATACAACAACTTTTCAACCTAATATACCCGGATATTCTAACTATATCCGCTAACACTCCCCCTCAAGCTTGGCAGTACAGGTTGTACATCCCGAGCTTGTCCACTAACTTTTCAAACAATGGTCTTCCAAGACCCTTGGTTAGAAGATCCACTGCTTGCTCCGATGTTGGGACATATGTAATACATATTGTTCCATCTTCAATCTTTTCCTTAATGAAATGCCGATCCACCTCAACATGTTTAGTTTTGTCATGATGAACTGGATTATGAGAGATGTTGATTGCGGCCTTATTGTCACAGTAGAGCTTCAAAGGAACCAGTACTTCCATCTTTAATTCTCCCAGCAACTTCCTTAACCACAAGAGCTCGCATACTCCATGTGTAAGTGATCGTAGTTCGGCTTCAACGCTACTTCGAGCCACGACTGTTTGCTTCTTGCTTCTCCAAGTCACTAAATTTCCCCACACTAAAGTGCAATAGCCTGATGTAGACCATCTATCACTCACGGAACCAGCCCAATCTGCATCTGTGTAGGCCTCAATGCTTCTTGATCCACTCTTCTTGAAGAATAATCCTCTTCCTGGAGTGCCCTTTAAATACCTTAGAACCCTAATGACAGCTTCCATGTGTTCCTCAGTAGGATCATGCATAAACTGACTTATGCAGCTCACAGCAAATCCGATGTCCGGCCGAGTATGAGAGAGGTAAATTAATCTCCCAACTAACCTCTGAAACCTCCCCCTGTCCACCGGACTACTAGAAGCTTCCGTTCCTAATTTCTTGTTAGGATCCATTGGGGTATCCACCGGCTTACATCCTAGCATTCCCGTTTCATTCAATAAGTCGAGTACATATTTTCTTTGAGATACGGATATTCCAGACTTGTTTCTGGCAATTTCCATCCCCAAAAAATACCTCAAATTTCCGAGATCCTTCATTTCAAATTCAGAGGACAACCCTTTCTTCAATCTTATAATCTCTTCTTCGTCATTTCCAGTTGAACAATATCATCAACATAAACAATAAGAATTGTGGCTTTTGTACCTCTATGTTTGTAAAACAGTGTGTGATCTGATTGAGCTTGAAAGAACCCTTGTTTCTGGATTGTCTTAGTGAAGCGATCAAACCATGCTTTCGGTGACTTTTTCAAACCATATAGTGATTTCTTAAGTCTACATACCTTTCCTCTCTTGTTGCCTCCATCAAACCCAGGTGGTAGTTCCATGAACACTTCTTCTTGTAGTTCACCGTTCAGAAACGCGTTTTTTACATCAAGTTGATGAAGTGGCCATTCCAAGTTAGCCGCCAAAGAGAGAAGAACACGTACGGTATTGATTTTTGCCACATGAGCAAATGTTTCTTGGTAGTCAATACCGTATGTTTGAGTATACCCTTTGGCTACTAACCTTGCCTTATGTCGTTCGATCGATCCATCGGCTTTATACTTGACGGTGAAGACCCATTTGCACCCAACCGGCACTTTATCTTTTGGCCTATCCACGATCTCCCATGTGCAATTTTTTTCCAAGGCTCGAACTTCTTCCATTATAGCCTTCCTCCAATCCTCCTTTTCCATTGCCTCTTCAATGTTTTTTTGGAATTTCAACCTCATAAAGATTAGCATTAAGTGCTTTGA